GGCAATATTCAGCACGTGCAAACTCGTAGTTTCCATACTGTTTATTCAAAGAACAATCAATAAAGTTGATGACTACAGTCGGGCTCATCACACCACCATCTGCTCACCTGCGCTGTAGTAATAAGTGTCAACTTCTGCCCTAGCGTGCCTCCAAGCCCTCTCATACGGAATGCTGACTGCGCATAATCTCTACAACACGAATCATCCATCATCACATCGTCAACTCAGCCCTCACCTGAACGTTGTGTCCTTCCCCAATGTGATCATCCCAATGCTCCCAGCCGGCTGGGCTATGTCCATGCCTGTTGTGTGAATGTGATCGTAAAAGGTAAAGCGCCGTCTCGGGTCCAATCCCGAGTATGCTAGTGGAATGGCTTTACCGTTGTTCGACCGCTCTAGTACCTGCGGGTGGGATGGCAGTGTATGTGCTATAACTTTCCAACATCCTGTTTATATCAGGAACTCTGAATGAAATTCGTAGCACACGGTCTCGGTTTCATGCATACAACAGCATTGTTGGAGGAATATATATAAGCGTGCATTATGAAAGGACACTCTTAACTCACCAATCGCTGGTCAGAGCTGTCATCTAGGAATACGACCGCATCGAAGGCTGCCGCTGGTAAGGTACGAAGAAGCTCCTGAGCAATGTGCAAGTTGCTCACTCCCGTTATCAGCGCACCACAGTCTATCAGCGCATAGACGCCCTCGACAGAAGCAGCCTGAAACATTCAAACATGGCAGCAACCAGAGTACCATCGCTTAGCACTATCCCTTTGCGATCTTTAGTACTGACTAAACTCACATAGTTTCAATGCGATGCATTGGCTAGGAGTCTCGCTACCATAAGTAGGATACTTCTCGCAACAAGGTTGTACCACGCACCATAATACGAACACCAATATCTAGGGTCTGGCCGACTCAGTCGATCAGTGGTCAATCCGATGTTGCAGCCGTTCGAGTGGTAAGCATTCCCACACATCAACCATGCGCTTTTCCCCTTTGTTGAATATGTTATATTTTCATTGAATAACTAATTACAGCCTCTCATTCGCTGCACCACTCCATTGCCAAATATTCGTACATTAAAGGATCTTATACACGAACATTTCGACTCACCTGCTTCAACAGGTCATGTACTGTCCACTCAGGGGGAAGCGTTGCCAGCCGACCTCCATCCCCAATAACGATACCAGTGTCCGTAAGAGTAGCCGTGATATGTCCATCACAGCCTCGTTCATATCTAGTCAATGATCTACACACCCTGAAGAGCTCTCATGCTTACTGGCACTCTCCCATATGGGTTGGCAAGAGGTCATTGGGCGTGCCCGAGAAGCCCAGTCGGTGTCGAAACAACAGTGGCGAACCAAGCTCTTGCCCACTAGCAACCAGGACGCCTACCGAGAAAGAATTCCCCGAGTCATACGGACAACTATTACTGGGAGTGTGTGAAAGAGCATCTGGGAAGGCTAGATTGGATAGATAGTGGATGGTAGCCGAAGGCGATGTCCGACGCATGAGGCGCCATAGTATCTCTGAAAGAGTGTCTGTATTCTCATGGGAGATATCAGCATCAGGATGGTTGTAAAAGGATCATAAATTTACCAGGTATTCTCGTCAATGCAAAATTGGCTCGCACCGACACAAGGGGTACAGCCCATCACGAAACTTTTCTGCAGTCCCCAGTCTTCACGCGGACCAGTCGGCACTCACCCATCTGATTGTCATCGCGAGGATCAACAAGCTCCAACGGCCACAGGGAGTTCCTGATAGAATCCATCTCGTCATCATCACCGTTACCATCAATATTCGAGTCAAAATCGCGCCAAGCCGTGCCTGGAATGCATCTTCATAAATCAACAGTCATTGAATGCGACGTACCAGTAGTGTCCTTTTCCGTTCCCTTCCCTACGTCGATCAACGGTGTGCCATCCCAAGTGAAACCTCGGACTCGGGCCCCAGCTTCACGCGCCCACTGGACCCATCGCAGACAGTCGGCTCGTCTGCAGTGGGGGATTCCGACATCAGCCTGCATGCCCTCTCGCGAATCCGTCAGCAACACTTTGAAGTCCGCCATCCTCAACCCATTGCAACGATATGCCAGCAAAGTGAAGCCAATAAGCACATCGGGATGGGAGAACTCCGAGGTCGCGCTAGGTCTGTCTTTACCCACGTAGGGTACAGCCAACAGTCTCCGTGACTTAGATGTGGATGGGGTAATCCAGCTTGAGGGAAGCAAACCGTAATCAATCAAATACCTCTTTCCTAGTAGGAAGGGGAGAATAGTCTGCAGCCACTGCCGTGCCAACAGCAGGAGCTTCACATCTCTATCCCCCAGCGCTCGGCACAGGCTCGTCGCCTCATCATCGTTACCATTAAGGAAGGCAACCAAAGCGCTGTCCGTGAGTTCAAGGGCGACCGAATTAGATCGTAACCAAATCAGAGTCCACTTGCATAGCCATGGTAATAGGAGATGCTCGTAGCACCGACGGTCATAGAGGAGAAGGTGCGGCCTGTCCGAGAGCCATTCGTCTTCGATGCCTCGCCTCAGGGCTTTCTTGATATTTTCCGCGATCTCGAGAGCATCTTTCATGTCGCAAAACTCAAGCAAGCCGATGTTTTCCAGTAAGGGGCTGATAATATGCCAAGCGAGCTTCCATCGCAGGCCAGCCGACGCCTCAGGATCATCCTCGCTAGTTGGCTCAGTCATATCCAGCGGTCTCTTCTCACCAAGAGGCCATCGCAGCTCCGATCAACGGACACCCGTCCAGCCTTGAGCCCAGCCGAGCAAAGGATCGCCCTTGTGCCGTATTCTCCACATAAAAGCGCTGTCGCTCCTATGAACTCTTTCAACAGCGCTTCGCTCCATCTCGAGATTCCGTCATCACGACGAGCCAACCAATAGCAGTCATGCTGGTCGCAGACCATCTTTCCGTTACGGTCTGTGAAACTCAATTGAAGCCTCGGAAATTCAACGACAACAACGTGGCCATTTCTCCCCCAGACTAGCGCGTGTGAGGCAGCTTCCAACCTCTTGCATAGAGCAGCCAGTGACGAGAGATTCGAATCGGCAGCAGCAAGAGAGATATTCAGCAGTTCCAATGGTGAGTCCTGTGACCCTATGACTTCACGGTACACTCTGGCATGCGACCGATGCTTATCGCCGACTGGAAAATGGACTAACAATGCCGTTTGAGGCCGATCAGAATCTCGTTGCTTCAGCTCCCCCACAAGCTGTCCCTGGTTAACACCGCTTTGCTGCTGCCAGAACACATACTCCTCCAGCAACTGCTCAGGGAGAAGTCCCTTCAGAAATCTGTTCGGTACGAACATCTCTACGCCACGTTCCTCCGCTACATCTCGGGTAATGACGAGAGATTCTGCTGGGACTGGATTTTCCATCTCTCGCCGACCCCAATACACACTCAGCGTTCCACCCAGCATGACAGCTCGATCCTCAAGGGTATCTGATACCCTTGAAGATGACTTGCAAGCGTAGTCGCCTCATCACTGCACCACACGAGCTGTCTATAAGACTGTCGGCCATGACCAATGACGTCATAGACCATAACAAGGGGAGCAGGCGAAGATACCACCACGATATCTCGAGGGGAGCCTTGGGTAGCGAGACCCGAAAGAATGCACCAATTACCGCTGGGAGATTCCTCGCACAAGTGAAGCCTGTTCGGAACGAAGTCAGTCCAACTAGGCAATTCCGAGAGGAGCTTCCGAGCCCAGTGCTTTGACGGCAGCTTCTTCCCCTGCAATTCAGCTGGCGACCAATCCGGGTCTACTGCCCATCTCTGGATATCATAACGTAAGCCTACGAGCCGATACCACTTCCGGTAAAGTGACGATTCAACGAGCGCCACTTGGATGCTCTCAGTTGTGGTTTCTTCACCAAAGACTTCTGCAAAATCGGGGAATTGCAGCGCCCATTCAGGCAGTGTGCTCAGCTGATGCTGCTTCAACGTGATTCGTCCAAGGTTGACGTTTATTGTCAAAGCTGGAGGCTGCGTCACCCCGCGCAGCCACTCCACATAAGGCCGCTCCTCCCCTTTCTCTTCGTGATTGGAATCCGACTGGGGTATGAACACTCCGAGCAAACCGCTTTGCTCTTCCCAGAGTCTTCTTGAAGCACTTTGATTATTGCTATTTGACACCATCTCGACAACTTCCTCGAGGACTCCACTAGCCCATATCTGATCGGCTCTGAGTCGAAGGTAGATTGGCCTTCGGAAGAGAGTGAAGACATTCATGACCTCCACGTTGTAAATGCCGCCCAGGACACCCGAGGGAACCTCCGGATCGCTCCAACTGTGATGCATCGACAGATATACTTGAGCTTTCAATACTGTTTCGTAGACCTCGCTAGTCTCATCGTCATCCATTTGATAGCTGCCTCGGGCTGCTGCCAACAACAATAAGTGAGCATGGGCACAATTAGCATCTTCGTATCGTCGTTTCCGCATGCTTGATTCGCACCAACGAGAGACGATGCTCCAAATCTTCCCGGTGAGCTTCGACCTCAGGATGCTCATGCACTCGTCCATCTTCTCGCCCTCCACTTTTCCACCATACAACTCCGTCACATGTCCGACATATATGCACACGCGTGCGGCAAGTCGAGCAGCATAGAGAATGTATCTCTGGCTCGGAGCTGTGTCCCTGCCCGTATCCCGTTCAGCCGCCGCATCCACAAGGTCTCCCACCGCTACTGCTATTTGCTCAGGGCAGTGGAGTAGTTCGTTCATCAACAGACCATCACGTATATACGTATTCTCAACTGGTCCTGGAATCTTGAATGCCGTCGTCGACTGCGGAGTGGACGCCCAGCGACCAGGCTCGTACAGGGCCGCGTCCAAGACCATCTGCAACCTAGGATTCGCCAAGACCCCACATCGGTCACGATCCGAGAAGAATGCCAGCAAGAGTGGGATTCGGACATACGGTGCTGTCAAGATCGCCAGGATCCGCTCGATTTGAGACGGTGACAAGGCACCATCAAAATCAGGGAGATGCTTGAGGTATAGCACGTCCTCCTCCGAGTGAATTTCCTCATTGCCGTCACACAGTGTGGATGGATTCGCCATGCTCGGCACAGATCGACACTTCCCCTTCTTCTTCCACTGATCGATCATATGTCTCATCTTGTTTGCCCTGCTCACACCAGCACCATCATCCTTGCTATAGCCAGCGCACTGGTCAAGGTTTTTCATACCGAAACCTTCCACTGTGATCTTCCCCTTTTCGACGCGCCACTGTAGTCGAGCGTCGCTACTGCGATAGCCCTTCCTCGACGGATTTGGTAGTTTCTCACCGTTCGAATTCAGGACGATCTTCGACAGAAACACGACATCGCGAAGCCAACCTAGCTCCGGACAATGATCAAGAACATCCGACATCTCCCCGCTTAGCAGTTGGGGAACGTACTCGCGGCATGTTCCGCCGAGTCCCAGGTTCAATCCGAGCTGCTCTATCAGCTGCGTCTCGGCCGGGGCGACTTTCACACCAGCTACGTC